AGAATTATTATTGAATTCTATTCACAAACTACATACAAAATATTCCCAGATATTCAATACAAACACAATATTCTGAATACCTCATGTTGATACAAAATCGCATATCAACAACTATGTAGATTAAATTAAATCCGTGTTTGTTAACCATGATTTATAGTTTGGATAAAATGATACTTTACTCATATTTATTTTCTACTCATTTCTCTTTCTTTCCTTTCAGCCCTATTCATTTCTCATGGGCACGTCATGGGCTGAAACTATTGAATCGATAACTAGGAAAGGGGGATTCAAGTCTTGATCAGAACAACATGCTCTCCTACAACCAAAAACACGGAAAAACACGCGAAAACAGAGAAAACAAAAGACAACATTGAAAAAACCAAAATAAATGAAAACACGCGACAAACCACAAAACATACTAAGAACTAAAGAAAAGACCTAAAACGGAGGAAAAATAAAGTTAAAATAATAAAGATAAATAAAAAAAATAAGACAAATAACATGATCTCAGTTAACTTGCTTATGTCTCATGCTCCCCTTTTCTGCGTATCAACTCCTGTTCTTGCTTCAAACAAAATAAATTAAGAAAAAAAAGAAATTCAATCAAAACTCAAAAAAAAAAAACAAGCGACAACTCTTTCGTTACATGTGGCGACTGTCGGCGTCACCCTCATGATTTCACAGGTGCTCGTGCCTCCAACATCCAAGCCAATGACTCTGCTCAGCTTCTCCCTTCTCGATACATCGCCTCCACCACCTTAGCACATTGCACTGCCACCACGACGACTGTCGAGGTTGCCATCTCCGCCATCCTATTAGAGTCACCGCGAGTTCTCGACTAAGATCTTTTACAGGGGAGTGACCATGCTGACTAAGGACACTGTTGCATGGACCTCCACCCTTTGCATACTCTGCTCCTCCCGCCCTTGTAGACATGGCCAGGGGCCGATCGACTCACCGACCCGGCACGGACCCGGCCCGGTCAAACTCGTTGACCACGAGTTCGGGCCTAGACCGAATTTTCGAAGGGTCGTGTCAGGGTCATCAATTTCATGACCCGGTCGAGCGGGCCCGGGCCGGGCCGGGTCAATGTCTAGCTTTTTTTATTTTATTTTATTTTTTTCCTATTGCTTTTTGAAAAAATGACAAACCCGGCCCGGTCAATCGGGCCATTTACCCGACACGAGTATAGGTCCGTGTCGGGTCTGAGTCATTGTTTTCGAACCCGCGACCTGGCTTGCCGGGCTGGGTCGTGACTCGGTCCGGGTTTTGGTCATGTCTATGCCCCCGCTTGATTTCTTTAAGCCATTTCTTGATGGACACATGTTTAAGCAGCACTAGTTTATTCCTTAGACTCTGCATTTTTTAGTTATTATTGTTATTACGTGTACGATAATTTGTCTTTCGTCGAAGTTCGTAACGTCCTTCTTTCTTTGTAGTTCGTCGCGTTCATCTTTCGTTGGAGTTTGTTGCATACTTGCATTCGTCTTACGTCGGAGTTCTTACAGTCCGTCTTTCTATGGAAATGATTGTTAGATTCTTTTGGGCGCCTAAGAAATCGCCACTTTAGGTACCTTTTCTGATTTTCTTTATTTGTTCTTTCATCACTAAAATTTTGTTCCTTGGTACCTTTTATGTTCTTGTATTTGTTCTTTGGTTCTTCTGTTCTAATTTTTGAAGAATCTACTCTGTCATTTTCTAATTCCTTGTTTTTTTCTTGCATTTATAAAGAAGAAGGTGAGAGTTAATTATCCATTTTTATATAAAAAAATGGACAAAGTATTATGATGTGATGTTGATTGGATGGTTTCGCATTTTTTAATTATTAGAGAGTTAAGTGAAATAAATTTGGATAAGCGGGGAGTGTAGAGAATAAAAAGAATACATTACGACCAACAAAGAAATAAAATAGGTATTTAAATGGAAAAACAATTATGAAAATGTACCAATGAGTCAATGACAATGTTATGAAAATGATGAGTGAATAAGGACTCACCGCGAGGTTAGGTTCCGATCACCCTCTTTGTGGTGGTCGGGACGGAGGTTGGTGCTCTCTTTCCCCCTGTCTCTCTCTTCCCCAGTTATGGGTTGAGGGGACTGCAGGCAAGCTCGGGTCGTAGTCCATGTTTTGTGGTCTAGCTTGGGTTGTCAGTGGTGTTGGGGGTTGTTCGGGGTGTGGACCTTTGGTTCCGGGTCTACATTCGTTTACCTCGATGTGGGGTTGGGCCGGTTGGTTTTAGATCCAGTTAGGCTTTTTTTGTAGTTTCTAAATTTGCAAATTGGGTTGCGGCTCTATCCGTGTGGGTGGTCGCTCGCGGATGTTATCGTCGTGGTTAGCTTAGTGTGGTTTGCCAGCTGCGGAAAGTGTTTTTTTCTATTTTCTAGTATTCTTAGTGCTTGTTTGTTTGTTTGTGTTTGTTCTAGTGTTGGTTTTTTGTTCTTCCGACAAGGGGGGTTTAGCTTTTTCTAGTTTTTATACTTCTTTTGTGAAGCTTTTATTCTGCAACTGTGGAAACTTTTTAGTTTGTTATATTGTGAGTTAGTGTAGTTTTTTTTAATACTTAAATCAAACAAACTAAACAAAAGAGGACATTAGTCCTTTACATTCGATAGAGAGGAAGAGAACCAAATAGGGAGGGAGTCACTCCAAACACACGAAGAATGCGAAGATGTCGTCCACCTAGCTTTGTTGTGAGCTACTCTATTTTGATCCATAGATAAATATTCACACAGACCGCAATCTAAAAGAGACAAATATCCTACTATGTTGTGAGTTAGTGTAGCTAGATCTAGGTTATATTAATGTACTAGTACAACACCCGTGTATTACACGGGTGTTTGCTAATTTTTTTCTTAAAATTTAAAATTAATGAGAAAAAGTAGTTTGAAAATTTAAATACCTTTTATAAGAATATATATATATATATATATATATATATATATATATTATTTATTATGATATTTTTTATTTGTGCGACTTACTTGTGTTATATTATACTAATTTTTTAACTTACACTATATAAGTACACTAAATATAAATATATCAATTGAGAAATAATTTTATTTTTCTAATGAATTTTAATAAATATTATTATTTTTTATTATTATAAAGATAAATATAATTTATTTATTTTATATATACAATATGGATGTCAAATCGAAGATTATCAAAAGATGATTAATTTGATATATTATATATGTAAAACCGATAAGAAATACAAAAGTTATCTACTTTTAAAATACATTTATAATTCAATAGTTATTGAAGGAAGCAAATCAAAATTTAGGGATATATTAGTCACTTAGTGTCTCACTATGTAAAATTACAAATAATTAAAGGGTTATATTAGTAAAAGTGATATTAAAATACCTAAGTTAGCTAAAAAATATTTATGGAATACTCGAACTTAGATTATTAATTATTAATATATTAATATTACTTGTCCAAACCTAATTACGAAGCATGATTCTTCGCCAAATAAGATTCTGAAGCACCAGAAGCAGCCACGTAGGCTCAGCGCATTCTGTAATTATATATAGGGAGGATTCCTCTCTGACTAAATTCAGGTTGATGGCTGTTGACTAATTATAGTTGGTGCTTAATTATATATATTTGTTTTCTATTTATAATTATCATATCATTTCGAAAAAAAAAAAAAGGCCTCACTGCATGACCGTGATCCACCCGCAAATAATTAGGTGTGCCTTGGCACACCTAACAAGGTGTGCCAAAGCATTTTTAAAATAAATATGTTACTTTATAAAATGAACAAGTTCATTTTAAATTGTTTTTCATTTTAAACTATTTTGGCACACATTGCTAGGTGTGCCGGCACAGTATAACTGGTGATCCACCATCTCATGATTTGGTGAAATCATGGTAAATAAACATGATATTTTCCCACATCGATTTCAGTGAAATGAATTTGAGGCACATTTATCAATGTACTTTTCGATTTTTCTATAAGAACAGTCCCCACTGCTATTTGTACGTTTCCAATATAATTTTTCCACCCCACCTGCCCTCATCAATCATCCCCACCAAACAAGATTCCAATTTTAATAAAGCCCCCCTCACTTTTCCCCTCATTTTCTTCAATCATTACTATATAATTTTTTGACACTTAAAATTTTAACTTAAAATACTTATATTCCCAAAAAAATAACGAAAAATATAATATTTCAAAATATAGAATGCAGTTTTATTAAATATGATAAGTGAATTCGTCTAATAATTAAATATATATTTCTACTGAAATAATATAACCTGTTGAAACAGAACAACAAAAATTTATGTGTTTCTCAAAATATAACCTGTTGAAAATTGAAATATAAAACCCTAAACCCTAAAGTGCCTTAGTGTCGTTGTCTCTAGCTATCTTCTTGTAGGCCTCTTGGATTCAGCTGTCTGGCTGCTTGGCTATTCTAGCTGTAATTAAGTGTTTTTTCGTTTTTATAAAATTTCTATCATTTCGAGAATACAAATAAAATAAAATAAAAAAGAAAAATGAAATATAACAAAAAAAATTATATATTTTTCATTTGTTTTTTTTATTTTTCTCATTTATGTTTGCCACCAATTTTTCCTCCTATATAAATCAGCCCACTACCTTAGCCTTGCAAACCTCTCCTCTTCCCCTTCATTATCTCCCCATTTTTTTTTTATTTTTTTTTTTCAATTTCAATAATATACTGTTATTCTGCTATTTTTTAAAAAATCTGCCTTTGTATTCCCTATATATATTGATATAATTAATGCTTCGAAAATCAGTTTTGATGCTCGGAATTAATTAATGTCGCCGGTACTCAGCGAAATCCTCCGGTCCGGTTTTCAGATCGATTCCTCTCTCCGGCGAGGGACTCATCTCGTTCAATCCTTGTCCGTCGTCTTCCTTTACTGGTTTTACGTTTTCTCGTGAATCTCTACACCCAATCGCGTCCATAAAATATCCTTTATTTTCCGGTTAAATATATAATTTCTGTTGCAAATACTGAATAAAATGGCGGCGTCGAGCGGAAACTCGTCCTCCGGTTCGCCGCCGGTTCGGAACTCCGGTTCGTATGGGGATACGCAGAACCTGCGGAAAAGGAAGCGAATGGAGTCGAACCGGGAGTCCGCCAGGCGGTCCAGGCAGAGGAAGCAGAGGCAGCTCGACGATCTAACGGATCAGGTTGCTCGGCTGAGGAAGGACAACGGTCAGATCTCGGGCAGCATAGATCTGACCACGCAGCACTGCGTGCGCGTGGAGGCAGAGAATTCGGTCCTGAGGGCGCGGGTGGCGGAGCTCACACAGAGGCTCCGGTCCCTTAACGAGATCCTAAATCTGATGTGCTCCGCCGGGGCCGGCGACGCCGCCGCCGGAGGGTGCGTTTTCGAGGCGGAGGGTTTTACGGGTCAGGGGTTTGGGGACGGGCTGTGGAATACGGTGGGGTTTAATCAGGTGCAGCCGATCATGGCCTCGGCTGAGATGTTTGATTATTATTGATTTTCGGTTTGGTTTTGGGATATATTTGGTGGGATCATGAGATTGCCAGGATCTTTTTTGTTTGTGTTTTTACTTATAAATTAATCTTTGTGGTGGGAGAGATTAGTGTGGTTTGGAGGTGATTAATAAAGATTTGGGAATGCAGCAGTGTTAAAACTCTTGAGGGAGAGCTTTGCCGCCCTTGTGGTCCTACTCGGCTCGATTTTGGATTAGTCGGTTCCCTTGTGGATCCGGAAATCGGAAGGTCCCTGTACCAAAAAAAAATAAAGATCTCTTTTTTTTTTTTTTTTCCCAACAATAAACAACTTATCATAAAACTCAAGAAAGCCAATACATGACCAAGCATGCTTCATCAACTTCAGCCCATTTTTCCACGACCACCATAAAATGTAAGTTGTGAGGCCGACTCTATCAGAACTATGTATGAGTTCGCCTGCATTACAGAGAGTCCACCACCATTTTTTGAAAGAAAAGGTTGATTTATCAGTTCCGGCCCGATTTATGCCAATCGGTTTCCAGCAAACTACTGCTCTGCCACACCAGTTTATCCTGCAAACCACACAACTAACAGGAATTTTTAAGATTTCCATAGCTTCAAAGGGAGAGAAAGTTTGGAGAATGAGCTCCTTGTCCCATTTGTTTGTTCTTATATCAGAATCAACTCAGCCACCCTGTTAAGTTTGCTCACATCAATTGGGAGTTGTGGCGTAGGTTTAAAAGTCGGAAGTGTTGGGATCCATGGGGAGTCCTATATTCGAATCGATTTCCAATTTCACACTTGAAACCTCGTCCGCAGCTGTAATGTTTTCTTAGCTTGTAGCCAACTCCTCCAAAGCCACAAATTTGAATTTTGACAGTAACTTCACTCAGTTTTTTATTCAAGAAATATCTACCCTTCAGCACTCTTGAGACCAAAAGATTAGGCTGGGTGATCTCCATAATTGTTTAACAATTAAAAGTTCATTAAACAATTTAAGATCCTTAAAGCCCAAGGCACCCCTTATACTCAGAAGAAACAGTGACTTCCTCAATTGTCTAAAACATGACATGACATACGTTGGTAAGCATTAAGGACTGTTTTTATCAGAATTTGTTTTCACTGAGGAAGTGAATTTTTCCACTTTAGAACTTTCTAGTGCATTCTATCACTCACAAATTTGAAAATATCTTTTTTAGACCTACCTATACATAATGATAGTCCCAAATATTTAGATGCATCGACTCTAGTTATCCTATTCAGAACCTAGCAGATCTCAGAAGCATTAGAGGATGTTTTGGTTTTGGAGAACATAATGGAGGACTTTCCCATATTAACTTTTTAACCAGAAGCAAGACCATATGTATGCAGACAAAAGGTTTAAGATCACCTGAGCTTGGGTCACAAAATAAGATGTGTCAAAACAAGATTGTGTCATTTACAAATTAAGATTGTGTCATCAGCAAAAAACACGTGAGAAATCAAAAGAGAATTTCTACCAATCCTAATACCCTTATACTCAGAAGAAAGACATGCTTGCTTAATTAAATTTGAGAAAGCCTCTGACATGGTGATGAACAAATAAGGAGACAAAGGGCCTCCTTGCCTCAAACCTCTAGTAGGCTGAATGTAACCTTTCAAAGAACCCTCAGAATGAAACAAAATGAAGAAGTACGAATGCAAGCAAGAATCCAAGATATAAATTTATCACAAACCTCATTTTTACAAATATGAACTAAGAATCTCATTCTACCCTATCAAACGCCTGGGCCATGTCCAATTTAATGGCCATGTAACTATCCTTGCCTTTAATTTTACTGTATAAGAAGTGTAAACATTCATTTGCAATCACAACATTGTCAAGGATTTGTCTTCCTGGCACAAAAGCAGATTTTGGGTAGAAGAAATGCACACATTAAGAACTTTCTGGAGTCTATTAGCAATGATTTTAGATATGGTCTTATAAATCAAATTGTACAAACTAATAGGCCTTAATTCAGAGATATGAGTAGGATTTTTCTTTTTAGGAATCAAAGACAAATCTGTGTAGTTACGGGATTTAGGCATTTTACCAAAAGTGAAGAAGTTCTAGATAGCTTTACAGATTTCGGTTTCAGTTTGGTTTTTTTTAAGTTGCGATTATTTTTTTTTGCTATGTTCGGTTTCTGATTTTTGCGGTTCGGTGCAGTTTTCACCGAACCACAACGTTGCTTACCCCTATCTTATAGTAACCCAAATATATTTTATTTTATTTTATTTTATTTTATTTTATTTGTCAAACTTACTATAAATGTACTTTTCCTACAATTTTTTTATATTACTATAGATTGGAAGATTCCAACGGTACTAGAATCTTCAAATTTCATCTAAGGTTCCAATAAAAAACTCATTGCAACATAAAATTTTTGTTGGAATTCGCGTTGAAATCTATTAGAAATTTTCAACAAAAATAATAGCATTGAATTATCCATTAGAAATTTCGTTGAAATTCCATTGAAATATATTTATGTTGGAATTTCATAATTTTCTTGTAGTATTGTCCTTGTTATGAATATGTTGTTCCAAATGATCGAATGCTCTACAAAAAATAAGAAGGTTTAAGATCACCTGAGCTTGGGTCACACTAGCTTTACAAAATAAGATTGTGTCATCAGCAAAAAAAGAAGTGAGAAATCAAAGGAGCATTTTTACCAATCTTAATACCCTTATACTCAGAAGAAAGACATGCTTGCTTAATTAAATTTGAGAAAGCCTCTGACATGGTGAAGAACAAATAAGAAGACAAAGGGCCTCCTTGTCTCAAACCTCTAGTAGGCAGAATGTAACCTTTCAAAAAAAAAAAAACCCCCAAAGAGAAAGAAAATGAAGAAGTACAAATGCAAGCAAGAATCCAGGATATAAATTTGTCACAAAACCCGAACTTTTTACAAGTTTGAACTAAGAAATCTCATTCTACCCTATCAAAAGCCTTGGCCATGTTCAATTTAATAGCCATGTAATTATCCTCGCCTTTTCTTTTACTGTTTAAGAAGTGTAAACATTCATTTGCAATCACAACATTGTCAAGGATTTGTTTTCCTGGCACAAAAAAGATTTTGGACAGAAGAAATGCGCACATTAAAAACTTTTTTGGAATATAATTAGCAATGATTTTAGATATAGTCTTATAAATCACATTGCACAAAGTAATGTGTCTGAATTCAGAGATATGAGTAGGATTTTTCTTGGGTTAATTGCCATTTAAACCTTGACCTTTTCACTTTTGGCAATTTAATCC